GTCTCGGGGCTGGTTTTATTCTTATTCATCCATTTACTTATTCATTCATTTAAGTGGGGATCGTTAAGTAGCTTAAAAAGCAGTAAAAACTCTTTATGAGTGTGCGCGAAGTTCTGAGGTGAAACCAGGCTGCTAGTGAAACGTTTCTTTCCACCTTTCCCCCCGACTCCAGTCCAGTGTCTCAGGGGCCAAATTAAGCCCCCTAAAAAGTCCCTGAGCCTTGAGGTTGGGCAACTGTGACATCCTGCAGGCAGGTTGCCCACATTTCTTAACGTGCAGCTCAGGTGTGGCCTCTCTTGGGCAGTAAATTCTGCCTTTTTTTTTTAATATTCTCCCTGATTTGATAGATTTGATGAAAAGGAGAATGTATCAAACTGCATCCAGCTGAAGACATCGGTTATTAAAGGTATTAAGAATCAGCTGATAGATCAGTTTCCTGTTATTGAACCATGGCTAAACCAGATTATGCCAAAGAAAGACCCTGTCAAAATAGTAAGATGGTAAGTTGTTGTTGTTTGTTTGTTTGTTTTTCCTTCTCCGAACCTGTGCTTTTATGGTATTTAGCTTGCTTTGTCTGTGTGCTCCCTTTTTGATGGTAAATTAATTGAATGTTTTTGAGTAATGTGTATCATTTCTTATATGTATGTTATGACCAAACCATAAAGTTTGTGTGTGCTTTTGGCTGTTAGGAGGATGCTTGAAGAGATTCAAAACATCACTTAGTAGTGAACACACGTGCAACACATTGAGGGGCTCCTCAGCTATCAGTCTGTTAAGTGAAGCTTTCAGCTTTATGGCTACAAAAGCTCAAACTTATTTGGATAGCCTCTGCTGCACTATTATTATTATTTTTAACCAACTTTACATTTTCTTACATGATTAGATTTTTTTTAATGTGATTGTCATTTCTTTTTTAAATACAGGGTGTAGTATGTTTGTGTGTGTATATATACATATATTTCCCCTGCATTCCCCCTATATGGAATTGGGGGTGGGAGGATATGGAAAAACAGCTTGAGCATTGCTGGATGTTTTTCTGCATATCTTTTTTTGACAGGAAGAAAATGTGCAGGGGGCAAATGTTGAAGAATAGAGCATACTACAGGATATCTTTTTTGTTCCATTTTTTTCCTCTTAGTTTACTATCTCCCAGATGCTAAGATAGAGTGAACTGACTGAACTGAATAAAGTATTTCACTTAAAATATCAAAGAGTTAATCAGTTATTCAAGTATCTTTTTTTGTCTTGCAGTCATGAACATATAGAAATCCTCACTGTGAATGGGGAGTTGCTGTTCTTCAGGCAAAGAGAAGGGATTTTTTACCCAACACTGAGGTTACTCCACAAATGTAAGTTTTTCTGAGGACAGTTCTGGGAGGGAGGTGAAAGGGTGAGTGGATGAATCAGTAAGACATCTGTATTATTGAATTAAAAAGAACTTATTTACGTGCATATACAATTTAAAAAAAAAAAAAAAAAGAATTAAATTGCAATTGCAAAATAATTTAAAGAATTAAAGTGCAATAAAAATTCTTGGGAGAGTTTTCCCTAAGACTGAGTCTAAATTTCTTCTTGTTGGGCCTGTTGCCCCATGCTATATATTTTTATTGTTGCGATGTTCTCTAACGAATTATTGCAATGGAAGATGTTAATCACCCCAGACTTTCTTTCTTCTAGGTTCTTTCTACAAAAACATTCTTTAATTATCAGTGTGTGTTTTATTATTATGCTTCTTCAAGATTTTATACTGCATGGTTTTAACTTCATAGAACTTATTGCTGTTCTTGATGGTGTTGCGGTGGTTCTGATGAGCTCAGGTCTTGCTAAAGAAGATAGTCAGATTCCTATGTTTTAAAGCTGTTTGGTACAGTTCAAGCAGTTGTGAACACTTGAGGAATAGCTGTGAGGGCTGACAGTCAGCCTTGAAAACTTAAGTCTTTTGCCTTTTTTTGTCATATTAGCATTTAATTATATTTTTAAGAGGTTATACTTGGGGAATTATACTTGGGATATATAGCTTGGGGAATTCAAGGCTTGTTGCATGTGGGCACTTAAGTGCTTGTTTTGATTTGTGAAAGATTGTTGAAGTTGCTGCTCTATATAGAGGCTGCAGATGTTTTCAGGAGGCTTAGTTTTTGGTTAATCTTTGGTTCTGAGGAAAAAAGATGTGAGCAGTGAAAGCAGAACTGCTGCCCTTTGGGGACAGTATTGTGCCCAGGAGCTCTGGTAGATGGAGTCAGGAGTTACAGAAACAACTATCTGCCCCTTCCAACCTGAAGTGGTCAGGAGTTGTTCATATTGTCATCTTAATCGTAACGTATTAATTGTAATGCTGTGTTTTTCCCCTCCTAGATCCATTTATTCTGCCACATCAGCAGGTCGATAAAGGAGCGATTAAATTTGTACTAAGTGGAGCAAATATAATGTGTCCTGGCCTGACATCTCCTGGAGCAAAACTTTACCCTGCTGCCATTGATACAGTTGTTGTATCCTTTAATGAGGAATTGCTGCTTGCTGCGAGATGAATGAATTTCTTTGTGTTCTCTCAGCTGATCGTAGTCCAAATTACTCTGGGTTGTTGCAGTATTTCACAGAATAACTAATAACCTGAAAAGAGATGCAGATAATGTGATGTTACTTGGCAAGGTAACATTGTTCTTAATTCTTTCTACTTATTGTGGTGTTCCAAGCTGAGAATAACTGTTGCTGCTTCTCCCACTGATTTAATGGGTAGGTGGAGCCCATTTGTGAGTTTATGTAGAATTATGCAAAGAAATGAGGTACAATAGAATCTGCGCTCCCCCCTCCCCTTAGTCTTCTACTTCTACAATTGTAGAAGAACTTGGTCCTGTTCTGACTGAATTTGAAGAGAGGTTGGTGCTAAATTTTGCTGTAGTCAGAACTTTGCTCCGTGCATCTGATGGACTTGTGTATTCTAATTCAGTCCCGCCTATTATCTTACTGGGAAAGGAACTAGGAGCAAAAGCAGCCTCGATAATCCCAGACCCTGCTGCTTTTGTTGTTACTCGGACGCTGTAGGGTAAGATTAGCAGTTAGCATCTCATGTTGTTGAGCATTACAAAAGACACAGCTGATTTCAATACTTCTTCGAGGTATTTTTTTTTTCCTAGTCCTCTACCTTGGTATCTAAAATAGACCTCTGTGTAGTTACAACCCTGTTGTAAAAGGGAGGCACTATCATCTCCTTGTTTGGCACAATGGAGGAAATCAAGTGTAGTGCTGATAGACAGACATATATACACACACACTTAGGGTAATTGCTGTTTGAACATCATGAATGTTTTATGTTCTGTGCTTGGTTATTCATCTGTTAAATATTGAATGTTATTTTGTTTATCCCTAAAATCTAGTGCTCTAGAATTACCAGAAGGGCAAAGTTCAACTGGGCATTTTGATACTTTTTGAGAAGCCATTTTTCTCTAATGTTATTGCTTTTATTTTTCTGTAATAGTTTAAAAAAAATCTATTTTCCTTAGCAGTGATTTGTAGGCAATAATGGCAGAGGGAAAGCAGCATGCATTATGTGTGGGAGTAATGAAGATGTCAGCTGAGGATATGTAAGTATCTTAAAAAATTGAAATATTAGCTGTCCTGTGTCATAATTCCTTTGTTAGTTTGGTATAGAAGCAGCACTGCCAAGGTACTGAATCACTGTTGCAGCACACTTCTTTCAAATACAGAATTTATTTAGACCTTCAGTCTGTTGATTAATATTAAATCTGGAAAAGAAGAGAGTATCTTCCTTACTCATTTATCTACCAAATGGAATCAAAACAGCTCTTTTATGTGAATATGGATTTTAAAACACACATGAGCAATGCCCTTGAATGTTAATATTTCTTCCTCACTGATTGTATTCTTTCAAAGATCTTGCTGAACAATTCTTATTCAGCAATTGAACAAAAGTGAAGCCTACATGGAGTAGTTACCAGCAGGACTGAGCAAGAGATGCCATTTGAATTGAGGGGCTGAAAACACTGAAGTGCTTTTGTTTGCAGGGATAGCAGAGATTAAAGTCCTGCTGGCTCTTGGTCGACCAGCCAGGCTTTTCTCTGTGACCTCCTGCCTGACATGTATAATAGCTTAGCTAAGCTACTTGTGAAATGCTCATCCAAGGGATAAATATCAAGTGAAAATTGCCTGAGAATCATAGAATGCTTAGGGTTGGAAGGGACCTCTAGAGATCATCTAGTCCAAAAGAAGAAGGCCAAGAGGATGTTAATTAGAAGGCAATGGATGCTAATTGTCCTTAGCATTCAAAATGCTAAGTTAACAGGACTAAACTAAATCCTTTTGTGTTTTTTTATTATTATTTTATTATTATTATTATTATTTTTAATTCTGTGACTTGTAGCAGTAAGATGCAAGTTTCCCCCAGCAAGTCTAGCCTGCTTTGGTCCCAGCCCCTTCCAGCGTGTGAGAAAGGTGACCAGGATGAAAACAAGTCACTCTTCTTGAGGCTAATTGTCAGTTGGGTCATCTCCTGCCTGGGGTCACTGCTCTGACGTAGATGGTAAGGGGAGCACAAGGGAGAGTGTCAGTGAGGACAAGGGCAGAGCAGGGCAGTGGCCACATGGATTTGGATCTGCTTCAGCTACTGAGGAGCTCATACAGTCCTCAGGATGCTCTTAGTCCCTTCAAAAGGCTCAGAATAGCTACTTGTGTCCTGACATGTGTGGCCTGCTCATATCACTGCAGGCCTGGAATATCTCTAATCCTGATCCTGTGTTCAGATTCAGCAGCCTAATAGCCGCTTTCTACTTGTGTCCTGACATGTGTGGCCTGTTCATATCACTGCAGGGCTGGAATATCTCTAATCCTGATCCCATGTTCAGATTCAGCAGCCTAATAGCCACTTCCTCTGAGAAGCAGTATAAAATGAAGAGGGGAAAAAATGCATGGAGAAGAAAATGGAATGATACTTATCTGTGTAGTCTGTTAGAATAATGTTTTGCATAGTATACTCTAAAACTAAAACCTGAGATTGTGTGATTTCTGCAGTTTGGAGTATTAAAGCATCTTTTTATTTTTTTCCAGTAACCTTTTTTTTTTTTTTTTTTTTCTCCTGTTTACTCTTGGGCAAGTTGTCAGGGTAATGGAGTGTTCTAGTGCAAATGCAATAAATGATGTGCAGGAGAATGAAACCTGTTCTCAGCCTCAGAAGGTCTTGCTTATTGTGTTGAAGCTAGACTCCCATGCGCTAGTCTGATGGAGAAAAGATGAACACAAATCCCGTGGAGCTGCAGCAGACCACGTTTACAAAAGTTTGAGAGGGATGATCTCCAACTACTGTAACATGTAGCAAGTCCTTAGTGTGCAAATGTAGTGTTTGCAGTTCTCTGCGAAGCAGCTAGATGTCCTGCAAGGAGGAGCAAAGCAGATGGCCAGTGTTGATTCAGTGGCACATCTAGAACCAGAACTTGTCACATTCTGCTTTCCAGTGTTGCTTGGTGTTCCACTTCCTTGTGTGCAGGAAGGAGGGGTGCTTGCAGCTGCTGGACTAATAGGATAGAGGAATGAAACTGTTAACAAAGTAGCAGAAGGATTGTGTGAGGAACTGCCTTCCACAAAGAACCAGTTTAAAAAAAAAAAAAAATACTGGTGTGTAGTTGCTGACAGCCTGGAAGGAAATGTCTTGTCATACAGCAATATGGTTACGTGTAATAACAAATGTTGTTTCTTCTATACCCCCTGTGTGATATTATGACACTAGGGATGATAGATTCTGCCTATTCAATTGATAAATACTATATTTTCACTTTAACTATTGTCTTTTTACTGCTTTAGTGTTTAACGTAACTGACTCATGCTTCTATATCTTTTTCTACAGTGAGAAGGTCAACAAAGGGATTGGTATTGAAAATATTCATTATTTAAATGATGGCCTTTGGCATATGAAGACGTACAAGTGAAACAAAAGGAACTGTGTTACTCCAAAGGAATGCACTTAGATTAAATGTGGACTGCTTTGTAATTCCTTCTGTTTTTTAATGTGACTGAATGTACAAATTACTTTGTTCTGTGGCTATGCTAAATAAATCAAGTGAATGCGAAAGTACTGTTAGGCTATAATAGTTTTCTAGGGTTTTTTGTTTTAGTTCTTACTTGTTTTGTCTTAAACCCAAGTCTTCAGTCATTGAAGATATCTGACAGCAAGATCACTCATGGTCTGAGTAGAATGTTTCAAACTAAGAAGGTGAAAAAGCCAAGAAATGTTTACATTTTATGCTCTTCTAACAGTAATGTAAAGCATTTATGAAATATAATTAATACAGCTTATACAACTGACACTTTAGGGTTTTTTGTTTCTGAATAACATCTCTTTAGTCTACCTGTTTACTGAAAATAGAAACATCTTTTTTTAAAAAAGGGTTATTTTTAATCTAATTTATTAACAGCATTAACTTCATTTTTTTTTACTTCAGAATTTTCTCTTTTTAAGATGCATCTATCTGCATAGGATTGATGAACTTAAGATAGTTTGTGAACTATAAATTCTTTTTTGCTAGTTCATATCTAAAGAACATATATGTTTGAGTTTCTACCTGCTGACACTGTCTGATATCACTCCTTACAGTGGAACTCATGGTAATGGTGGGCATGCGCCAAACGGAATACGTGCCAATCAGTGCCTGATGCTCTACTCCTTATTTGCCTTCGTATCTTAGGAGCAGAAACAAAATCGCTGCTTAACAAAGGCATGATAGCAAAGTGTGGTTATCAATGTAGCCAGGAGTTTCTTCTTCAGGTGGAGCTGCAGAAGAGACGTTGGTTTGTGCACACTGCCACACACGCTGTGTCTGCAGTGCCAGCTGAGGAGCACTGTGCTTGTCCAGCCAGCCCACTTCTGGGCAAGGACCGCATACCCAGAGCTGTGTGTGTGGAAAACAGCCTGTGCCGTGGAATCGTTTAATAAAGTAAGGAAACTTCAAGGTTACCACTCATCACTCTGTCTCTGGAAGCATTTATTAATGTTGCAAGCCTCTGTTCTAACACTGTGTTTTGTTAATGACAGGGCTGTATTGTGCATGCAGTCTCAGTGCTGTTCTGCACGTTTTATTTCCCTGCACTATGACCACTGCAGAACCCAGGGCAGAGGTCTTCTCAGTCTGGTCCGAAAGGCAAGTTACAACAGGGAAGATGTGATGTATTACCTAATCTGTGCTATTTTTTTTTCTTCCTGCAAAGGTTTATAACATCTGAACAGAAAATGACAGGCTATATAGCTGTTTACTAATGTAGGAATACACAGGTTAAGCTGATTGTTACAGTAGTGTCCCAGGAAAAGGAAGTTCAGTCAGACCTTCCCTTTGGAATGCTGGTGAGCACTTATCTGCAGTTTAAAGACTGCTATAAATGTGTTCCTTGTTAGCACAGTGGGGAATCAGCACAAGAGCTTGCTTGGCTGTCTTTCCCGTAGAGAACGAGGGATTTGTCACCATCAAGATAAACAGTGTTATTCTCATCAGGTCTGAAGCAGCCATTTCACAATTGTGTATTTCCCTGCAGTTGAAGATTGAAGGAGATACCATAGAAGGTCTGCTAAAGGTGTTGTAAACTAGTATCTGTACCTCCCTGTGTGTTTAAGGGATTCTGTAATAGTAACAGTGCCTGTAATGCTCCTAGAGGCAGTTTACAGTTTCAGGACTCTCCTTAAACCTTGAAATGTATAGGTCATCTAGGTGAATTTTAAATGGAGTAAACTTATTGAAGATTGTTCATTGCCACTTGTAGTAGTAATTTATCTAAAACTTTTAGTGCACTTTCAAATGCATTTATTTTCTTAAAAAAAAAAAAAAGGCACTGGAGTTTTGCCTCTTGCTTTGTTGTGCAATTATCTATTTTGAATCACTCTCAAGGAAAGGCTTGAGAGTGCAAGGGTACACTGCTGTTTGGTGTTGAAAATATCTGTAAATACATTTGTATTCTACGCTTTCATTGACAGCTAAGCAGCTTCTTCCTTGTAATACTACTAGCACCACTAACACGAGTGAAGTCTAATAGACCTGAATTTTAATATGCTTATATATCAAGCAAAACTTAAAATGCACAATTACTCCTGTGTTAACAGGCCACCTAGCCCTGTTAATATTTATTTGATTTTGCTTATCTTTCTTTTGGTCACTTAAGAATGAAAGTCCAAAGGTCACTTTTAAAGTCTGTTAAGGTTGTTCTATAACCCTGCTTGCTTCCTGCTCGTCTGTTAAAAAAATTGGACATAAGGTGAGAGGAGCCACTGCTGCACAACCAGCATAGCTCAAGCTTGTGTAGAGAAGAAGCCATGAGATTTTTCTTGAGAAATTTTTCCATCACAAGGCACATGTCTTTTCATTGCTCATTGCTCAAGTACTTTCCCCCCTCCACTTTTCTATTAAGTAGAAGCATATTGGCACTAGTGCCTATTTTTTTTTGGGGGGGGGCAGGGGGGAAGCTGTGAGTTTAAAGCATTTCATAGAGGGAACCCTTTTTAATTGTGTGTTAGGACAGCATCAAGTAATAGTGGAGAATCCACGATTTCAGCTCAGCACTGTAGGTGTTAGTGCCTAGGGCAAAGAAAGCTTGCTTGGTTTCTCATCATGCTCCCCAAAACAGAGTGCAGAGCTTGATTTTTACTGCAGCCCAAATACCCCAGTTTTAGGTTTAAGGTGGCACTTGATATACTTTCTTAAACTTATATATAACTATATAAACTTCCCATCTATATGCACCCTTGGTTGCGGTCCCCCTCAGAGTAGATAGTATGTGCGATATCATAAGTTGATTCTTTTGCTGCTATGCGATTCTTGAGTTGAGCACAATGCTTTTTTTTTTTTTTTTTTGGTAAAGAATTTTTAGGTTAATGAAATGGAAGTAGCTTAAAGTAAACCTCTGATAACAAATCTGTAGTCAGTTTTATTGGTACAGCTTAGAAAGATATAAAGACATTCTAGAAATGCCTGAAAGAATCAAAGGATCAAAATTCTGCAAAAATATATTTGTAGCGGTAGACTGTCTGCTTGAGTTTTCATTAATAAATATTTACATATATAAACACCCCATATAAATTTAATTTCCTTTATCACAAACATTAACACCTCCTTCATCATTTCAGTCCAGCACTGTCAAAAGCCATAAGCATTTCTGTATAAAAGACTTAGAAAAAAGTTCTCCTTTCCACTTTTAAAATGTAAAACTTTGCCAAACCACTGTGCAAAAGTGTTCATCAGTACCACCTGATCCAAAAACTGAATGTCTGTCCAGATGCATGTCCCAAGAAGGGCTCCCTTCACAGTGACATGTTGTCCGAGGGGACCTCAATCATTGTCTGAACCCGGAGGCGGCAAGAAGACCGGAGCGTCGTTGTAAGTGTGGCCGTAGGGCCTGAGCCTGTACACCCCGTACATCATCACGTGCATGTGGTTGGGGGCCAGGCCGCTGAAGGTGATGGCCATGTCCGAGCAGCAGCCTTCGACCACTTGGTCCGGGTGGCTGGACATGGCCTCTTTAATGAGGGCACCGACTGATTTGGTGTTGAAGACATCTTTTCCTTCTGAGTCTTCTGCGTTTTCAGCAAACACCCCCATGTACTTCAGGCAGACGGCGAGCTGTTTATCCTCGGAAAGTTTCCAAATCATTCCGCCTTGCTCTGGACACTTGTCGGTGTCCTCAAAAACGGTGGAAAGTCGTCTTAGTGATTCAATACTTAAGACAATTCCTCCATTACCATCTACATATTCAAGGTCACCAGATTTCACGGTGTGACCTATATAAAAGGGCTGTGAGGGGTCTTTTTTCAGCAAGAAATACTTGAGATTCTCAATAATGGCAAACGTTGTCGGGTGTGCGAGGAAGAACCAGTTGAACTCATTTTTATAGCGCTCGTAAGTTATTTTGTAGGCTTTCCTCATCATCACCCACATGTCGCTCGTGTCGAGGACGACGGAGTCGAACACCTTCACGTTCTCGGAGCTGAAGAAGTCGGCCTGGTCGCAGTGCTTGCTCCACGTCTCCTTCACAGCAGCCCAGTGGCCCAGGTCCTTGGGCCGCACCAGGATGATGCAGTAGACGCGGATGGTGCGGCTGAGCTCCATGCGCTCCCCTTCCGACAGGTTGAGCACGTCCTCCTTGTTGGGCGCCTGCAGGTGGTGATGCTCGTGCTGGCGGGGGCCGGGGCCCAGGCGCACGTGCCCCAGCAGCGTGACCAGGGCGCAGAAGACGCCGCCCAGCACCAGCCCCTTCACGAAGGAGCCGCTTTCCGAAGTCATCGCGTCCTCGGGCGCGCAGCGGCCGTTGGGAAGCGCTGC